AAAAAAAAAAAAAAAAAAAAAAAAAAAAAAAAAAAAATATGGAGCTTTATTAAAAAAAAAAAAAAAAAAAAGTCATCTGCTTTTATAATCCCTTGCTGCAAGATGTGTTGAACCAATGGTGTTTTCTTTCTCCAGCCTTTTTTGCCCTTTCTGATTTTATTTTTAGTTTTATTGTTGTAAAAGTTGACTCAACAGTATGAAAACAGTGGACAGTGTCTTCAGCAACAGCCCTTTCTTTTAGACATGGGCTATAGCACTGATGAAACATCTAGACATCTTTCTACTTAACCATGCACAGAAGTGCTCCTGATGGACTGGCCACATGATGTTAATTTCCATAACCAAAATATTTGTCTCAAATGTGGGATTATAGCATAATTGAACCCAGGTTCAAAGAGGGTGGAGGTTGAGACTTCATCCAGACCTCTCCAGCACCTTCTGTAATAACAGGGATTCTCGGGTGACTGAATTTAACCAAAAAGCAGTGGATTTATTCAAAAGTGCTCTAGGCCTTACATTTCTCTGAGAGGATTAGAAATTCTGAGATTAATGCTGTTTGAAGGGATCCCATTCATACTGTCCTGCCTAAGCCAGAAAAGAGTTTTTTCCCCCCAACAACTCCCTTCCCCTGCCCCATACTGATAAACCTTAGTTTTCTGTATGTGAATTTCCTGGGTAAAAGTCTTAATCCCAGGTATGTAACCTGAAAGTTAGGTCTATTAAATTACCCTTCTGCATTGAGAGATGAAGAAAATCAATCTTAAAAAAAATCTGCTTCTTTGTACAGTGTTTGGCTGATCCTTTAGGCAGCAGGTTGTCACGTGACTATTAAAATACAGGTGGTATGCTGTTGGTCAGTACCTTAATGAGGTACATGATAAGTTACAGCCTGTTACATTAAAGATGATCTTCAAACAATACCATTAATAACATTTTTAATTCAGTAAAATTCAGCTTCCAATCCTCCTTGAAACACTATTGAATTTGAGAAAAAGATGTCTGAGTTGTGAAAAAACTTGAGATTTAAGTACAGTTGCAAAATCCAAACCACACAGTGTGCTGTGCTCAAGGACTCAGCTGCTACGTGTGCTGAATAAGGTGCTACTAAGACTTCTGTGACTGCTTGCTCTCTCTACCATGCCTCTTCATCACAGGCATGGCTCCTTGTAAAACTGCCACTTTTTCAAATCTGTTTCATTAGGGTCACTACTTATGAACTTCATTGTAAACAATTTGCTTCTTTCTACTTTCTAGGTCCTGGGAACGCCTACAAGGGAGCAAATTAGAGAAATGAATCCAAACTACACTGAATTCAAATTCCCTCAGATTAAGGCACATCCCTGGACTAAGGTGAGTTTCTCTGAGTTGGATAATGAAGGTGTGTGGGATGAAAGTAAAACTGCAGAGTTTAGGCTGATCTTGACTTCTGTTGTTGGTGACTTTCCAACTAAAAACTGGGACCCTGTAAGGAAATCAGATACCCAATACATCTTGATGTAGGGCACTAGGAATACACCTTGAGGAAGAGGAAGAACGTGCCTAAGCTCTGCAACAGATTGCCCTATGGCTCTGGTTTTCCTGTGATTTATCCAGTGGTGTCTTTGGGCTGGGTACATACTTATAATCCATAACAATGTGCTTGTATTCCATTTTAGCACAATCCTTGGTTATATGTATACACTCTTATGTGACTAAATGTATTCTGTAGAGGCAAGGGGTGCATTTTACAGTGCAGCTACATCATCTCAGTGTAGGGGTGAGATCTGTATTGCTAATTAGTTGTATTACCCATCTCTCAAACAGATCTGTAGATTTGTGTCCCAGTAGTTACTGGTTAATTTTTTTTTCTGCAGTTACTTTCTAAAGGGTTTTTGTTTGTTTTGTTTTGCTGTTTGATTTAGCTTGACTTTCAAAAGGAGACAGTACTGTGGCAAACACTTTGTTATATTCCAATCTTCTCAACACCTGATTTGGAAAACCCTGCACTAAGATTAATGAAAGGCAGCATAAATAAGAGGGTTCCTAGATGTTGAGGAAAGAACAGCATTTCATTGGCTTGTGCAAGGAAAACAATTTATCAGTTTTAGTGCCTCTTGGTTGTGGAATCATTTGAATAAGGGGCTTTGAACATTTCAAGAGTGGCTTTTATTTTTTATTATTATTAATAATAATATTATTATATTTTGCTGGTTAACAAATACCTTCTAATTACGCAGTTGGGTTTTTCGCATTCTAACAGCTGTAACTGCTCAGTCCTCCTGTTAAGAATACACAGAGTGCAGCTACCCGTGAATGAAACCATCACATGTATCACCTTTGTCTTAATAGTGACCAATTTGGATCTTTTTGGATGAAGCCTAGACTAAGCAAAAGGTTCTGAGCAGATGGTGTGGCCTAATTCAGGCTCTTCAAGACTGTGTTCTGTACATGTTACTAGAAGTCATTTCAGTGATTGATTCTCCCATGTTCTGTGCACAGTCTCATTTTTGCCAGCAATCCCTTGGTTCTTTTTCTAGACCTTAGTTTTTCCTTTTCCTTGATGGTTCCAAGACAATTTTTTTATAATGCCAAGACACCTGTCTATATCATGTAAATAGAAACATTTTGATGGTTAAGTTAATTAACCCCATGAAAATTGGTCTTCTCTTAATTACTTTAAAATGCTTCTTGGAAAAAGCCATAAAAATCAGCTCGACATTGCAGCAATGAAATTTGCTTTTTGGGAAAGGATTCTAGTGCTGCAACCAAAGTTAAGACTTAAGTTAATGTGCAGAAGCTGGATTTCAAGTGAACACAGTATGTAACAGAGCCAGAGCCTGTTTGGCTGACAGAGCACATTGTAAGTAGGCCAGGTTAAATTCCTAGTGTAGTTTGGCAGTTCTTCTTGTTGTACATCTTTAGCAGTTGACTGCCCCATACCACTGTGGGATCTTCCCATCAAGTTTCTGCTGGATAAAATGACCTTTGTGTCGAACCTGAAACAGACTGTTCATACCTTTTCTACATAAGTGAGTGCTTCTTGAGTCTATAAATGATCACAAGTGAAATCAGACCAGCATAAAACACTGAGGGAAGCTTGCCAAAAGATTATAGTCCCTTCTCCATTAGTGCATGGGGAAAGGGGTGTTATTAATTCTGTTTTAAGTTGTGGATTTTTTTTGAAAGCTGTTCTTACAGCAGTTTCTTATTCTCAGTTTGTTTTACAACCAACACTAAACTCCTTCTAGCAGCAGCTGAGTGCAGAATAGCATCTAAACTGGCTTATTGAGTTTGGGGTGGAAGATAATCCAATCATGAGATTTGCCTTTTTTCCTAACTGTTTCCTAACCCTTAAAGTAACAGAAAGACTAGCTTGGCCTTTATAACATTGCCAGTCATATTTTAATATCTCCTTAAAAATCTTCTGCTCTCCACATTTTGTTGTTTAGCTGTGAATGTTTGAACATGAGATGCCCTCCTTGGTGAGACCATTTAGTCAGTCCAGTGGCCTGTCTCAGTAGCACAGAGTGTTGTATGCTCAGTAGAGGAAAATTAGTTCGGGCCCTTCCAAGATTTGATCCATTGCCTGCCCTTTGCCCCTTAGAGCTTCCAGCATTCAGAGGCTTGAGAAATCCTAATTTGAAGGTTGCAACCTAACTGTTATGTAAGTGTGTAGAAGGGACCATCCCCCATTAGTTCTCCTCCCTACCCCATTCCTGTGCTATCTAAGAGGCAGTATTTCCCACCTAATAGTTGAATATTTTCTTCTAGAAATGCCAAAGAAATTTTCAAATAGCAGTTATAGAGTGAAAGCATCATAAGCAGAAAGCAAGTGAAGGAAAATAAAGAATGTTCTTCTTGCATATGATTATGATGACATGCATATATACAGAACCTCACTAAGGGGATTATCAGCATGATCTGAGCTCCAGAACCGTTAGCACTGAAGCACTGTACAAACCTTTATCACTTCAGCTAAAGAGTAACATATTATCTGACAGCAGTGTCCAGCTCTGATATCTGCTTGGAGGCCCAGCCATATTTGGAAGAGACTTTAATTAGAGCAGCTCTCGGGAGACACTAATTAAAGCGCCCTCAACATCTTGTGTATTCAGCATCCTGCATTTCAAAAAGGCGGCCGTAAAGCTTGTTTGATGAGCTTTAGTTAAAGTGCTTCTGCTGTCATTTTGAAGCATGAAGCTGAATACATAAGATGCCAAGTCTCCTTGAGCACAATTAATTGAGTCTGCTTTGACGCACTGTAATTACAGCATGTCAGAGCAGACATCTTGCACATCTACAGGCACCCTTGGGGATTTAAGCCTTTGAACCAAAAAAAAAAAGCATAGATGCTTTAGTAGCCTGCTAGTTCTTTCAGAATTTGTATTCTGGAGAATGTCCCTGTTCAGTTGCTTCCTATAAAAGAAAAGGAACTGTTTAAAGGAAATAGGGAAAGTAACAGGAAACAACACTGAGCATGCAGTGTAATGTAGATCTTCTCTACACAGAAGTTTATTCGCAGTGCTGTATCAGTATAGTTACACCATCATAATTTTATAATTAAAAATGCATCAAAGAAGGACCTCTTATTCCATATCTATACAGGGACTCTTACTGGTATAATTGTAGGCAGGATGATTTTACTGGTGAAGTAATGCTAGTAAACATCCGAGCATAAACAAGTAATTAAGGTGCCCAGAAGAAATTTCTTCTCTTCTAAAGCAAACTCTTTCTCACTGGGCTGGGAGAATTCAGTGTGGTCTGTTTTGAAAATGGCTCCAGCAGTGTTTCTCAGTGCACACCTCTGCAACACAGTCAGTGTGTGCAGAGGTTCATTTATGCTAACTGCATTTGGAATGCTTCTTCATGGCTCTGCACGGTACTTCATTAGTTATAGTTGTTAGAAGTTCTGCTTAATGAATTTTCAGGGGTAAAAATTTCTTTGCCTGTGTAGCAATGAGCTAAAATCAGAAGCAGAGCTTCCAGATGATTCTGTGTCAAGACTTTGAAATCTGCAGTGGTCTGGTTGTGATACCAGGGCCAGTATTTTTCAGAGACCCTTAAAAATGCCTTGTTTGGTGATAACTAGATATCCAAGACTTTGGTTTCCACGTAAAAACACTGCCACATAAGAGTGCCCTTTAGACCAGAATTTGACAGCCTATAGCATGAAGGCCAGATTCAGCCCACAGAGCTGTTGGGTTGGTGATGGGAGGCTTTACCCATGCCACACTGTCTGGGTAGCAGATGGCAGAGTGTCACTCATGCTGTGCTGCAGCTAGGCAGTGGGGAGAATCGGTGATGGTGGATGCATTCTAGCATCCGCTTGGTTTGGACCCAAGCTGGGTCATTCTGGCCCATTTCTGGAAAACGTAATCGACCTCTGCTTTAGAGAATGGTTGGTAGGACAAAATTGGGCCCCTGGAACCACAGGGGACTGGGAAGCATTGATAACTAGCACTGTTGGTGTGTTAACAGATGAATGTCAATGAAAAGACCACACAGTAGCAATAACTGACTACCGCACTATTAGAAACCTCTAAATTAGATCATGCAGCTATGGTAGGTCTTGCATACAGCTTCCCAGAGGTGGAAAACTTCAGAAAACACAGTAATAAAATAATAATAAAAGTAGAAAACAGTAATAATAGATAACTTCAAGTATCCACAGATACACTAACATCAGGCTGGGATGCAGAGACCAAAATACTTCAGGTATCCATAGATACACTGACATCAGGCCAGGATGCAGAGACCAAATTTCTTACTATAAAAGACTGCTTCCTGGAGTACTTAGCCCTGGAACTTACAAGAGGAAAGGACATTCTTGACCTAGTCTTAAGTAGTACACAGGACTTGGTGGACAGGGTAAGTGTTATTGAGCCGCTCTGCAATAGTGAGACAATGCAGTTGGGTTTGACATCCACGTAGAAGGGGAGACCAGAAAAAGATTTATGATATAATAAAAAAGTAAACAAACAAACAAAAAAGCAAACCAAAGAAAGCCAGCATGGTTTAATGGTAGAGTTGCAGAAGCAATAAGCAGAAAAAGGCTTCTTTTGAAAGTTGAAAGTAAAATCCTAATGAGAAAAATAAAAAAGAGCACAAACTATGGCATATCAAATGTAAACGTGTAATAATAAGACTAGCTAAGAAGAATTTCAAGAGAAACTTGCTAGAGACTCAAAAGGTAACCATAACAATTTCTTTACCGTAGAAGCCAAAGACCTGCCAGGGAGTCTGTTGGGCCTTTGGATGATCAGGGTACAAAAGAAGTGCACAAGAATGACAGGGCCATCATGGAGAAACTAAATGCATACTGTGGAAGATGTTTGGGAGGTTCCCTCACCAGATCCACTTCTCTCTAGGTA